CCAAGGGATACAGGAGTACTGATGCATAGGGGCACTTGTACCCCAATGTGTATAGCAGCACTCTCAACAATAGCCAAATTATGGAAAGAGCCTAAATGTCCATCAACGGATGAATGGATAAAGAAATTGTGGTTTATATACACAATGGAATACTACATGGCAATGAGAAAGAATGAAATATGGCCTTTTGTAGCAACATGGATGGAACTGGAGAGTGTGATGCTAAGTGAAATAAGCCATACAGAGAAAGACAGATACCATATGGTTTCACTCTTATGTGGATCCTAAGAAACGTTTTCATTCTTTTTTATGGCTTAGTAGTATTCATCTGAGTAGTATTCAGCCATAAAAAAGATGTATACACCACATCTTCTTTAGCTGTTCATCTGTGGATGGACACTTGGACTGCTTCTGTATCGTGGTTATTGTAAATAATGCTGCAGTAAATGTATGGGTGCATCTACCTTTACAAATTAGTGTTTTCATTTTCTTTGGGTAGACAACCAGTAGTGGAATTAACTGGTTCATACGGTATTTGTTTTTAATTTTGAGGGACCTCCATACTGTTCTCCACACTGGCTCCATGAATTTACATCCCCTCCAACAGTGCATGAAGGTTCCTTTTTCTCCACATCCTCCTCCACACTTATTATTTCTTGTCTTCTTCATCTTAGCCATTTGTGCAAGTGGGAAGTGATACCTCATTGTGGTTTTGATTTGTATTTCCCTGACGATGAGTGATGTTGAGCATCTTTTGATGTGTCTGTTGGCATCTGAATGTCCTCTTTGGAAAAATGTCTCTTCAGACTCTTGCCCTTTTTTAAATCAGATGTTTGCTTTTTTCGTGTTGAGTTGTATAAGTTCCTTATATATTTTGGATACTAACCCTGTATCGGATATGTCATTTGCAAATCTCTCCTCCTGTTCAATAGGTTGTCTTTTAGTTTTGTTAATGCTTTCCTTCGCTGTGCAAATGCTTTTTATTTTGGTGTAGTCCCAGTAGTTTATTTTTGTTCTTGTTTCCATGGCCTGGGGAGACATATCCATAAATATGTTGCTATGGCCAATGTTCAAGAGATTATTTGTCTATGTTTTCTTTTAGTTTTATGGTTTCGGGTCTGACATTTAGGTCTTTAATCTATTTTGAGTTTATTTTTGTGTATGGTGTAACACACTGGTCCAGATTCTCTCTTTTGCATGTTGCTGTCCAGTTTTCCCGGTACCGGTACCGGTACCATTTGTCGAAGAGACTGTCTTTTCCCCATTGTATATTCTTGCCTCCTTTGTAGTAGACTAGTTGACCTATAAATATGGGTTTATTTCTGAGCTCTCTATTCTGTTCTATTGATCTATGAGTTTTGTGCTAGAACCATACTATTTTGATCACTACAGCTTTGTGTAGTTTACCTTGAAATCTGGTGTTGTGGTACCTGCAGCTTTTTTCTTTCTCAAGATTACTTTGGCTATTCATGGTCTTCTTTGGTTCCATACAAATTTTAGTATTATTTTTTCTCATTCCTTGAAAATTCACATACATTTTGTCATTCAGTCTCATGGCAACATAACTGATCAGTATTGTCACGACTGCCCTTTGTAGATGAGGAGACTGGCTCAAAGAGATATTGACTTGCCAGAGCTATAAATGGAGCTGGATTTCTGGGTTTGTTCTTCCAACTCAAACTCTGTATTCCTGGGCTTATCCTGTTATGTCACTACTGGTGGTTAACTTTTATTATCTTAATCACACTTGGATCTTATCCCGACAGCTTTATAAACAAAAGTAACTGTTTGCTTTAGGTTTCCAAACTTGGGTCAGAGTTTAAGAAATTAAGTAAATTTCCTATAAAGCATTATTCTCAACCAGCTGCAATTTGACACTGGCGTCTCCTGGGTAGAGACTTTCCACACCCCCCACCCCCTACCAGTACGGTCCAGCCCAGGATGCCAGCAGTGCCTAAGTTGGAGACCCTCACTAGGAAAAACAAGACCTATTTACCCATTCCTGACCTGGATATTCAAACCCTCCACCCCATCTTACATACATGTAATATTTTTCTGCTACCCTCAGAATTACTTAAAATCTAGTTTTGGGGGGGCACCTGGGTGGCGCAGTCGGTTAAGCGTCTGACTTCAGCCAGGTCACGATCTCACGGTCCGTGAGTTCGAGCCCCGCGTCGGGCTCTGGGCTGACAGCTCAGAGCCTGGAGCCTGTTTCCGATTCTGTGTCTCCCTCTCTCTCTGCCCCTCCCCCGTTCATGCTCTGTCTCTGTCCCAAAAATAAATAAACGTTGAAAAAAAAATTTTTTAAATCTAGTTTTGGGGGTAATTTAAGATAAAGCATTATCTTTCATAACAGGCATAATTTGGAGTATTTCAGTAATGTTACTATGTAAAAGCATTAATACTGTGCCAAAAGTGTCATATATAAATTAGAGTTTTCTGAAAAATAGTTTATGTTACTGGGCAGGAGGAGAAAAATTAAACCAAAGCACAAATATTTTACTTGAAGCCAATATTTTAATTTTTTTTATTTTCTAGTTTTGCCTATGTTGAATGTGAATAAAAAATAAAGGATTCTTTTACACAGAGCTTTTAGTTCCTTTGTGTTTTGTTTAGTATTCTGCCTGTTCATTTATACCAGCTGTGTTTTCAGAGTTGTTCAGTTTGTCATATTTGAGTAGACAGTTTTTATAGAATGGACAGTACCCATCTAGGCTCTTCCAACTGAGGTCTTAGAAGGGACATCTTGAAAGCACTCCTTACATACAAGGTGACATTGTCGTATAACGCAACAATTGACATATTGTTGAAAGCTTATAATAACTGAGATAATAAACAATGTGAATTACAGATTTATGTAAACACTTTGCTTTTTCGTAGAGGTCTTATAATGTGGTAATAATCATTAATTTTAAAAAGCATGTGCTGTAGTCTGAAACCAGATGTTATGAATAGCATCTGTCAAGTTGATAATAAACACTGAAGGCTTTATTATAAGGAGTTAGTTTAAACATATAGACAGTAAGCCTCTAAAATATGGGAATTTGAATAAGATTATATAAAACCATACTTCAGCATTAATAGAAACATTACAGTACCACCCAAGTTATTAAAGAAAGTTTAAGAATAGTATAATGTGCTCTCCATGAAGCCATTCTTGTCAATTTTGGTTTGCTAACAGCAAACGAAAGAGCACAGATTTTGCTAGGTCAAGCATTCCATTTACAGTACAGTTCTTTTTAAAATGCACTTGATAACAAAGTGTTAAATACCGATTGTATTATTTTTTTGTTACTGAGAAAAGAATGTTCAAGCATGACATTTATGCAGAATCATTTGTGTACAGAAGGAAACTGCAGTACGTGCTTGTTTTTCTTGATCCTCATGGAGCAATAGTTTTGCAAAATTCTGTTAAAATTTTTTGTCATAAAGTAAGTCAGGGGACTTACCATGTAGCAATAGGTTTTTGCTGATTTGCATAATACCACCATTTTTAACAGAGTTCAAGTATTCCAAATGTATTAATTTCTAAATTTTATATTAAATGGATATTACTAATTACTACTTTCTGAAGTTCCCGAGCTGCACGCTCATTCTGCCTACAACACAGCGAAAAGCCGCGGGCTGCACTTCCCAGTACCTCACCGGGTTGTTGAACAGACTTATCGCACTGTATAAAGATTTCTTCATCTTCGGTACTGTTGGGCAGAAGTCATTCACTCCCACTTTTGTAATTGAATTAGAGTGAAGAAAGATTATCTGTGGCAGTAGGAGAAAGAATGGATTAAAAGTACATAATAAATGTAAAAAGAAAATGTTCTTTTTATAGTCCACATTTGTTCATGGCTTTATTTGTCCATTTATTTTATACTGATTTGACTGTATTTCATTAAAATATATGTACTTGTCTGTTTATGCCTGTTAAATACTTATTGTATCAACACAGTATGGAGGCTGCCTGCCGTGGCCCAGAGCACAAACGCCCCACCCCCACCCCCGCCCTTCGGTACATAGCAGTGCATGCGTGCTGCAGTGCCATATTTACAACTCTGGGTTTGCATAAAAAGTATTAGATGAGCAGAAGAATAGAATTCTCCTACGGTTAGGCCTGCAATGTGAATATGAATTGTTAGCTAGCATTCTCTGTGATCAAGGCAGAGAAGTGTAGAGCTGCTCTTTTTGTAAGTTGTTTTATAGAAAAATAATGTCTGTCGACAGCTTGTATACATATCTGTATACAGCATCAACATTTGAATCTTTAAATTATTATTCAGAAAGAATGGACAGTATAGGAACTTCTCTGCATTCCCTTTAATAGCCCTTTAAATTCTTCCTTGGTCTTTTTGGGAGCTGAGATTTCTGAGAAGTAAAAGCATTCTACTGACAGTATGTTGGCATATGAAAAAGTAGAAGCCTTTTTAGCCACAGCTAAGGTAGTGGTTCTGGCTGTCGTTACATTTGCCTTTACATTTTGGTGAGACTGATCTGAGCCAGTCATGAGCACTTGAGACATTGTTAAAAGCTTTAAGTTTGGTGTTGGAGCCCCCTGTGCCCTCTATCTGTCTTGGGATGTTGTGACAGGTGCTTTGTGTGGTTCATGCATGCTTCCCAGCAGCTCAGGGTCAGTGCAAGGTACAGATTTCTGCAGCACTGACCTCACTGGGAATGAGAAACAGTGCTGGAAATGGACATGTTTGCTTTGTGAACGTTGGCTGAATTGTACCCTTCTGACTTGTGTTCTTCTTTATAATTCTGTTTTTTGTGTTCTAATTCTATTCATTAAAAGAAAAATGCTAGCAAGAGTATAGGTAGGTTTAAAAGCAGACAGAAGCTGGAATCAGTAAATTCTGGTGGAATAAAGAACGCAAATTGGGGATGACTTGAGAAAGGAAAAGACTCAGGTTGTACTCACTGGTTAGACATTTAAATACAGCATTTGAAAAATTCAGAGTAAAAGTCAACCTTGAGATGAACACCTGTCTCTAACCACATCCATTTTGATGGCTTTTATCTCAATGGAATGTAGTGAACAAAACTTCTTTAAAGATAAATCGGGAAGAAATCTAGAAGCAGCAGTGATTCAAGGCCCATTTTTTTCTCAATGTGTTTTGCTTCTTGGAAGATGAGGATGTTGTGTATCGAGGAAGGCACACGAGAAAAGTGGACTGAGGTCAGAAGGGATTAAGTAGGGATTCTTGATTGGAAGACCGTAGATGAGAATCAGGGGGCTCTGTGAAACTCCTAAAAGCATGTACAAAATATTGTCTTCATTTTTTGTTCTTGGAAGGATCTAAAATTTTATCAGGATACTCCAAGGATTCTTGGGCCCCCTCCCACCTAGTCAAGACTTGTCAGATTAGAACAAAAAAGTTTCTAACAATGAAGAAGAAGAAATGTGAACCCATGACGCTCCAGATACTGACTTTTGATTATGTATTGTGGCCTGAATTTTTTTAATCATACACATTTCTAATCTAACACTTGATAAATGAAAATACCTGGGACCTTGTCTCTATGCTCTTTGTGAAATGTTTCCAGAATGAAAAGATATGTGATCCTCCTTGGATTCCTGGTGACCAGTCCTGCCTTTACATAAGCATCCCCTGCCGCCCCTGAGACCTGAAAGTAGCCAGGTCAGTAACTTCACCATGGTGGCTTCAGAGGCAGGAGAGACTGCAGGTGGAAATGGCACCTGACAATATTTTAGCTAACATCTCCTTAGAAGCCCTGTCTTAGGACACCTCAGGCAACTGGACAGTCTTTGCATGTGCACTACCCTTACTTCTGGTTTCGTCTTTGCCTCAGGTCCTCACATGTTTCGCAGAAACAAAGGAAAGTACTAGTATCTACAAAACACCAGTGGAACGTTTTACCTGGAGATATTTCAACTCCTGTAATCCTGAAGGGATTTTTTTTAGTTTGTTGTTTTCCAAGTGTATTTCTCTCACTCGTGGTATGTTAGCAAGACTTCCGTTTTCAATGTCAGTGATTCTGTTGTTTCCCAGGCCCAGCCTAAAAATGGCATAAAGTGCATCAACTCTTTTATTTTTTTATTTTTTTAAACAAGTATTTATTTTTGAGATAGAGAGAGAGGGACACAGCGTGAGTGGGTAAGGTGCAGAGAGAGAGAGAGGGAGAGAGAATCTGAAGCAGGCTCCAGGCTCTGAGCTGTCAGCACAGAGCCCGACATGAGGCCCGAACCCATGAACCGTGAGATCATGACCTGAGCTGAAGTCGGATGCTTAACCGACCGAGCCACCTGGGCGCCCCAACTGTATCAACTCTTAAGCAGATCTTGTGACAGCTGAACACACCACAACTGAGTGGAAAGCTTACACCTGACCTATTTGCATGTGTGTTCAGAGAAAGGTACTTCCTGGTTTCATTTAATAACCCGTTTCAGGGTGTAACAGCTGTCTGTGTTTTCCACTGTCACCGAAGTCTTTATCTAACCTGCATTAACAACAGGGACATTTGAGAAGTATTCTTCTCCTCCTTCCACTTGGTGTCCCTCTTGGTTTTCCCTTCACGACAATGACAGACTTGATTAGGGCCCTTCAAGGGGTCTCCAAGGGGTCTCGCTAGTATCTCCATCATATCACTGCCACTTCTGAGTTGGGGTTTAGAGGGCTTTTACCTTTGCAGGTCTTTGTATCGTTTAAAATCCTCAAGTTCCACGGTTGAAATTTTATTATAGTCTAAATGAAGCTCCAGTAAAGTTGATGGAAGTTCTAGAGATAAGAAAAGTAATAGGCATGTTAGGTCAGGCAAAACCAAGCCCCATTTATTATTTATTTACTTGTTAAGTTTCACATTGTAGACTTTGGCAGTCTTTTAGAGATCTGCTTTTTTTTTTTAACTATTTATTATGGAGAATTTCAAGTATACGCAAAAACAGAAGCTAGTTTTAGGAGCCAACACACCGCTGTCCAACATCAACAATTATCTCCATTTTTCCAAGATATTTTCATCTACCACATTAACTATTTGTCATTGGCTGCCTTTATTGATTTGTTTTTCTTCATTTGTTTTTTTGCTAGAGTATTTAAGATTTAAAAACATTTTTTTAATGTTTATTTTTGAGAGAGAAAGAGCATGAGCAGGCGAAGGACAGAGAGAGAGAGATACAAAAGCTGAAGGTCTCCAGGCTCTGAGCTGTCGGCACAGAGCCCGACGCAAGGCTCAAACTCACAAACCATGAGATCATGACCTGAGCCGAAGTTGGACACTTAGCTGACTGAGCCACCCAGGCACATCTTTTTAGCTGGAGTATTTAAAATCAAATTCCATATATAATGTCATTTCACCTGTAAGGTGACATTTCACCAGATGTCTCTAACTGACAAGGTCCTCTTGTTTCCACATGGCTGTCTCATCCGTGTCACAGCTGACAGAATTAGAGCGGCTCTTTACAATCACTGAATGTTGCTTTCCCGAATGATCTCATATACGGTGTTTCACAGTTGATTTGTTCAAGTCAGGATCCAAATGTAGGTTTACAGAATGCATTTGTTTCTCCCATCTCTTAAAATTTCTTCTACTATTAAGTACATACTTCCTCTTTTTTCCCCATCCTGCATGGATTTCTTTCAGATAATGATTTGTTTGAGATGCTCACTTGTGTATTAGACTGATGGCTTCCACATAGCATTTGTCTTAGTCGTTTAGCCCCTATTTCTCATGAGCTTGGTGGTTAATCTAGAGACCAATTAGAATCAGTAGATCAGCCCTTTCTACAAGGTCCATTATTTCATTAAGAATGGGAAAATGGTGGGGCGCCTGGGTGGCGCAGTCGGTTAAGCGTCCGACTTCAGCCAGGTCACAATCTCGCGGTCTGGGAGTTCGAGCCCCGCGTCGGGCTCTGGGCTGATGGCTCGGAGCCTGGAGCCTGTTTCCGATTCTGTGTCTCCCTCTCTGTCTGCCCCTCCCCCGTTCATGCTCTGTCTCTCTCTGTCCCAAAAATAAATAAACGTTGAAAAAAAAAAAAAAAAAAAAGAATGGGAAAATGGTGATTTTCTGATTTTGTCATGCTTAATGCATTTATTAGGTAGGATTCTTCTCTAAAGAATTTTCCTTCGTCAATTATTTAGTCACTTTGTAATACAGTTTTTACAGAAAGACAGCATAAATGCTTTCTTCTTTTAAGTAATAAATTAGTGTGATGCCCAGTGGTGACCAGTGAAATTTTTCTTCATATCTTTATGAACACATGGATTTAGATCCATTGAAGTATTTATTCTCTTCCATTAGTAGTAGTTTCTGCATAAATTGGGAGGAACATCTCCAGTGTAACCTGGCACATGCCAGGTACTCTGTGAATGAATGTGGGCACCTTCTCTTCTCACCCCTGCGTGTTCGGACCCCAGCCCTCCCCACATTAACAGAGACTGTAGCGAAAAAGATAGCCAGAAAATTAAATCACACTTCATTATATTAGGCTTCTATATATGAAGTATTATTTGTTAACCATAGGTTCTACTTAGCTAGCTAAGGAAGGCGTTCTTTTTTTCAACTCTTAACTGAAACATTTCCTTCCTTTATTAGTGGTAGACTGTTGACGGTAATTGAAATATCCTTACAAATATCAGTATTCTTCCTGGCTGAATTTATGTTGATTCCAGAGTCTATTTTGGTTTTTAAAATTAATAAAACTAGAGGGCAGGAAAACAATTCTAAACTGAAGAGGGTTCTAATTTTTGAATTCTAATTAGCTGAGCTTAATTATATTCATGGAATGACTACTCCAATATGTTTAAAAAAAAAAAAAAGAGGGGGGAGGTTCTGTCTTCAGAGATTTTATGTACTTACGGAGCAAATCCATCATACGTATAGAAATCACTAAAAAGATACCATAGAGTGTTCCGGCCTATTCTAGAATGTGCGGTAGCAAGTCAAACAGAGAAATCTGTTCATGTTGAGCAGTCAGGGAAACTTTCTGGAACAGGGTTTGTAGAACTTGAGGGGACTATTCCCTTTCCTAGAGCATGGAGAAAGTGGATAACCAAAGAGAACAGTATAGCCTCTACTGGGTAAATGAGCGATGTATGAATTTGGGGGCGTAGCTCAGTGACTGTGCACAGCACTGGCATGCTTTTGTGCAGGTATACTGCAGTTCCTACCCGGTGTGCAAACAGCTGTCTTCCCCTTCCATGCAGTGCTATTATGTAGCAGAATTTTCCAAGTGAACTGAGAGGAGAATATGTTTCACTCTCCTTATGTCAATTTGTCAGGTCTGGTAAGGACCCTTTGGACCTCTGCCTAACTTCATCCTGCCACAGGGCGGGGGGGCAGGGGTGGGTAGTTATGACTGAATTACATTTCAGCAGTCAGCCTTAACACGTTAGCAAATAAATTATGAAAACAAAAAATTTATCTGGTTTTTGAATGTCATAGATCTCTTGAAAGAGTAGTTATATAAGATGAGAGATTTAATTCCAATTTAAATTTCTAGAGATGTAATATGTTCCTTAAGGCTTTGGAAGAATCTTGAAAGCATTGTGAGAAGTTAAACCTTCATTTTTAAGAAACACCAACATCTGAAGAGAATTGCTGTCCAGATATTACAGCCTAGGAGAAGCTTCTGGGGAGCGCAGCTCTGGGGGGCAGCAGCCTTCTCTCTCCTCTGTGGCCCTCCTGGCCTGCTCTCTACCTGCCCCTCGACTGTGTCTGCTTTTAGCACGTACAAGGCATGTCTGTATTTAACTTGTCAAGTGGCATGTATTTTTGTTGGTGTTTTAAAGATGAGAAGGTAAATAAAACATTTTAGGTTTCATGTTGAAAAACAGCCACCTTATCGAAAGCCAGATAAGGTGGTTTTTTAAATTGTGTCGTTCTGAATTAAACTGATTTTTCCTATATAAAAAAATTGTCTTTCCACTTTTACTTTATGATTTTTCTCCTTTGTGAAAGATCACCACTTGATTCATAAAAACAGCTTTGCTGTGTTTTTAACTTAACAGTTGATGTTCGTTTTGTTAATCTTCTGAGTCAGGTGTGCAGTGGAAACAGGTTACGAAGTGGCTGCTTTTACTGTGGACACTGAAGGACAGAGCTGTTTGAAAGGGAACTGTAGTGTTGATCTTAGGTACTGATCTTTCTGATTCAGGCAGTCGAGCGGGCCCCCTTGTCAGACAAGGAGTCCCGAGAAAGGCGAACTTGTCCAGTTCATTGCCAGACTGGGAGCTTGCAGGGAAGCGCTAGCAGGCTCTAGATGCATCTCACTTTGAGGCACTGGCTTCAGGCCACGTGGTAAAGAACAAGGCGCCCATCCTGGCAAAAGGGCTATGTCAGGACAGGGCATTCACCCGGTGCCTCACACCACCCTCTGACCTCTCTGTTCACTGGCCCGTTAATCTGCACAGCACCCTAGTGAAGAATGGGGTACAGGGTGCATACATACCCCTGCCAGAGCCAGCATCTGCCCCAATCTGGCCTGAAGGCTGCACCCCGTATTACTGCTGCATGGCTAGGAAGGGTCTCCGGCCCCAAGCATCTTCCCCAACCTTCTTCTCTAGAGAATGCCCACCCCTAGCAGGTACTTTACAGAATGACAGGTATAGATGAGTAAATGTCAGGGATGAGAAGGCAAATTAAAAGTTCATTACTTCTTCATGTTTGTTCTCACTGGGGAAACAAAAGATTCTGGTTTTATACTGGTTGGGGGTGGGGGCAGGGGGAAGCACATATGGCTCTTTTTGTGTGTGAGAAAACAGTAAATTCCATCCTACCCTGACCAAATACGCAGGTAATGAGGGTTCTGACTGCAGTGTGGTTTTGACGTTGCATACAGCTTATATCAGTACCTTTGATGGCCATTTAGAAATGACAGTGTTTTAAAAGTACTTTATGTTAAATAAATACAAACCTTTAGGAATTGAGGTCAGTTTTGCTTCTGCGATTCTGATATGGAATACTGTCACTCCTTCAAATGCCCCCGGTTCAATCCCATTATTATCGAGAGGGTTTGCACTCATTTCTGTGGGGGCAAATGACATAATTTAGCGTGCATTCATTGCGTATGAAGGAGAGCACAGTGCAGAGACAGACATCCCAAGAACATTCTGAGAAGTGTGAACTTCATCCTTTACCCTGCCTCACTCAAGGTGTTTGTTTCTGTGTCTGTCTGTTCCCTTTCTGTTCATCTCAGAGAAAGACTGCTTTGTATTATATAGCCTGAAATAGCAATATGCTTATATTATAGTAGATTAATACTAAGATAGATTTAGTATATAATAGAATTTTGCTTTGAATTACTAGGTCCGTGACTTGTTATCACTCTGTTCTCACCACGAGCATATTTTGTTAATATTACATTAGAAAAAAAAAATCCTTCATATAATTTAAAACATTTGTGTTTTCCAGTATGCATTTGTCACCTAAGCTTTTAAAATTATAAGTCAATTAGAAATTGTTACTTGATAAACAAATATAATTTTGAGGAGATGCCAGTAAGTGAGGCTATTTGGTAAGTGCCAGCCATCCGACTGAACTGAATATGTGAATAAATGAGAATATTGATTGTGAACTCTGAATGAATATTGTGGAGGGCGGTGGTGGGGTTAGACCGTGGGTGTTAGAAGTAGGATAGGGTGGAGCTTATGATGTACAACAAAAAAGCCCTTAGCTTAGCAGTCTTAAAGCAGATGATATAAATTAGATGTACATTCCAAATAATCACCGAATTAGTTTTGTGCATTGCATTTGAGTAGTTTATACAATACATTAAAAATACTACCTTTTTTTGGTATAGGAGTAACTTTCTTATTTTTTTAAAATACTACCTTTAAGTTAAATTTGAGGAATACATTTTTACCAGTTAGGGTGCAGTCAGAAAACTGAAACCATACTAGGTACTTCAAAGGGGATTCCTGAGAGCATGTGTTACAAAAGGCAGGTTTCTTTTACATGGTATGAATTGTGTGTTATACTTTGATTTGTAAATGGCTTATCTAAAGATTATCAGATTCAAAAAAATTAATTTCAGAAATTACCAGTCTTAAAATTATTGATAATGGTAAAGATCTCTACATTTGCATATTGCTTATAATTCCAAAATGTCCCATTCATTTGCATAAACTTACCTAGAACATGTAAAGTATTCATTCCTTTGAATGTCTCCTTTTGTATTTTCTTAACTTTATTATCATGAATTCTGAGTTCTGCTAGCGATTTGGGAAGATTAAATGGTATTTCGCTTAGTTGATTGTGGGACAGGTACAGCCTTCTCAACTTCTTTGTAGTTAGAAAGGCTTTTGGGTGGATCTTTGTTAGCTTATTGTTGTTCAGAATCAAAGCCTAGGTAAAGCATAAAGAGTTACACCATATTGTGAAGTGGATTTGATTTACCAATTCTGCAGTGATTAGTGTGTTCATGGAAACCAATATGAATTATATCACTCATATACTTTATTAACTATGTAAACAATTCCCCCAGCCCAATCTAAGCTAAAGAAAATATTTACTACTGAGTTAGAACGGAGTGATTTTGAGGCTTTAGTTTGTCTTTCAGCAGGTGATGTGTTAATATAGTTAGCCCGCCTCCCACCATTTCCCTGCATGGAAGTGATCGATGGTATTGTATCTAAAATTCTATTCTGTCACACCAAATACATTTTTTATGATTTTACCTACTTTTAAAACCTTATTTCTTTTACGTTTTCTGACGTTAACCATTTTTCCCAGACTGGAGACCTGCAGGAGCAAAGTCCTGCAAAATGCCCCCAGCATTCGGCATATCTCAGATACTGGGGAGACCCTAATGTGTCCTGAGAGATGCTTCAGCCCTTCTCCGTGCCTCAGAGGCTGCAAGCCCAGGGAGCGACAGAGCCCCCCCCCCCCTTGAGTGTGGAGGGCGCCTGGCTGCTGCCCCAGGGGTGCTGGGTGCGGGAACTACTCGCCATTCCCAGGGGCATGGCGGTGGCTGGGGCTCTGTTCCCTGTGACCTTCCATCCCCCTGCTTCCTTCAGAGGGCAGCTGTAGGGTGGTTGTGCTGACGACTGCTGTCACCAAGCCCAGTCCACACCCACCTTCCTGGTGTTTCTACACTGACTTAATATGCCTTCCTGGTGTTACTTATGTTGTCTCCTTCCATAGCAGAAATACAAAGACTTTGGCAGCTAAACTCCCCTTATTGTTGTTTCCTGTAGGTCCTTTCCTTACCCTTCTTTCAGATACACCATCTGTTACAAACCTCACCAGAAGTTAGATTAACCCTGGGAAGAGAGGAAATTGCATTTTGTTACCACGTGGTAACACGTATGTTCTCCTGTGTGCCGCCAGTTAAGTTTGTTCTCCTTCCTTTGGTTACACTAGGGTGTAGGGCGGGGCGGGGCAGCGACCTGGTGAGTACTGTCTGCTCCGGTGGGCGCTTGCCGTAGGCCCCCACTGCCACGGGTCCCAGCGGGAGCGTGTGTGGGCTTGCTTGAGGGCAGCCTCCCGCTGGGACATGCATCTTCAGAGCCACCAGGAAGGAGGAGTGAGGGGTGCAGAGCGGAGTGGGTGTTTACCTGGGGCCACAGAGGCCACCCCAGCAGGGTGGGCTGGCAGAGTGTCTCCAGCTACACTGTGCCTTCAGTGCTGGCTTACACACGAAGGTCCCAGAGCCCCACGTAGTATGGTTATATGTAAGGACAGGAGACAAGAAAAGGAGAGCCTTTGAGAAGCTGGACAGTGAGTCCTCGTGGTAAATGAGGCTGTAATAGCTAGCTGGCAGAGGGCTGGACATGCATGCAATGATCTCACCCTCTTTCTGCTGCTGGACTGGCCTTGGGTAAGAACCAGAAAGCCAAGCAGGCAGCTAAAACACACAGAATTTGCAGAATATCTGAGAAAGCATTTTGGTTCTCTTTAAGGGTAGGTACCATATGAGTTGATACAATTAAATGTCTTAAATATATAATTAAATGTCTTAATTAAATATATAATTAAATGTCTTAAAACATGCAGCATGCCTAGAATACAGGTATAAAGTGTGTGTCCTAAGAAGTGCTTTTACTTTGAGCCAGTCTGGAAGCACTGGGCTGTTGGCAGCCCAGTTAATAGCTGTGTGCTGAGCACCTGACATGCATTCATTCCTCTAAATAGCCTCTCTGACTTCCATATCATTCTTACAGCCCTTTCACAGCACAGGAAGGCCATGCTTAGCCAGGCGAGCCACTGTCCCAGTGCCTGCTTCTTCTGCTGGGGCCAGCGTTTGAGCCCAGGCCTGCCTGACTCCAGACACAGTGCCACGTAAAACTGAGCAGACAGAAATTGGGGCCTAACCCAGCTCCTGACACCTTTCAGACTCTCCTTTCCCAGTGAATAATGGGAGTACAAGTGGGCTGAGTCCCTGGGATACTCCTAAAATGCCACAAAGTTCTATGACAAATTAAATTTAAACTGTTTATGATTTTGGTATTAAATAGGCCATTGGGACACCTGGGTGGCTCGCTTAGTCAGTTGAGCATCCGACTTTGGCTCAGGTCATGATTTCGTGGTTCATGGGATCGAGCCCCGCCTCAGGCTTTATGCTGACAGTGCAGAGCCTGCTTGGGATTTTCTCTCTCTCTCTCTCTCTCTGCCCCTACCTTGCTTGCTCTCTCTCTCTCTCTCTCTCTCGCTCTCTCTCTCAATCTCTAAATAAATAAAGTTGAAAAAATAGGACATTAATTATTCTTGTGGTTGTGTAGCTCAATATAAAGTTGAAGAAGGGGTAGAAGCATTCATAGGCTGTATTTCCAACTTCTGAGAGTTAGTAATGGCCTTGCCATTCTCCATGAGTTCCTGTGGTCAGAAGGTGGTGGGGTAGACTAGACAGATTCTTGGTGGGGCTGTTCTCATATTTTAGTGAGGCCTCAGTTATAAGATAAATACATGCTCTTCCAATCCTTTTTTTTTTTTTTTTATGAAAACTTTATTATATACGGAGCTGAATCTAAGCTGTCTGCACAGCACCCTTGAAAGGGAGGGGAGCAGTCACGGCCCCGAGAGCCCACACCTGGCAGCACGGAGAGGCATGTCTTTGCCAGGAGGCTGGCCTGGCCCCCCTCAGGGTGCTCCTCCTCGCCAGGCAGGCTTGGCTAGAGGATTGAGAGAGAGCCTAAGGAAGGAGGAATGTTCCTCGTGGTGCCTAGAACATGGCCAGCTTCCATGTCCTCACTCATCCAGCTGACAGCAACCGTGCTGGGACTCAGCTGGTCCCCTTCCACTGCCTACTAGGACGGGTCATCAGGGTCCATGCACTGACCCAAGTGTGACGAGAAGGCAGGGTGGCCTCCAAGAGGACAGGAGGAGAATAGGCCTACGTGGGTGGCCGCAAGAGAATGATGTGGCCGTGGTATCTCTACCTTCCCCTCTTAGTGTGATACTGCCCTACAGGTGACAGGCCTTCCATTTCTTTCCTCTAGCACAGCATGAGAATGTACACACGTGGCCTTGAAGGCAGCACTAGTTCATATTGGCTTACCCCCACAGCCTGGTGCGGAAAAGGGGCCCCCATCCTAACTCTGTGCTGAGGAGAAGAGAGGACACCCCCATGGCTGTGACAGTGTGGAATCAGGCTCTTCCCACACCAAATTCCAAATTAGATTAGAAGTTTTACTTGCTACAATCTAAAGGCTCTAAGTATTAAACACAAAAATAAGAATCCTCTAAATCTTAGAAAATTAAAATATTAACAAATATTGTAAGGAAAAATTAGTTTTCATTTTTAAAGTTCTAGAAGAAAAGCCATACAAATATATATTAATCAGTTAGCTATTAGATATATTGCATGTGCTGCTCTCAGACTTATGGTGTCTTCCAGTAAGTCAGCAGTTTAGGGACACATTTCCTCATACTGTATGCTAATTGCGTTCCTGTAAATCGTCATCATCATCATCTTCTTACTCATTTTCATGCACAGTGACTGTGATTACCTGAATAGATCATGAGCCCTGTAGGACCATTTATTTGTAGTCTTAGCTCATCACCTTTCCCCGGGCCGCTGCTTCAGTTAGCATCACTTGAATTGAATTATTAACTAAATCTATAATTTCTCATGAGACACTGCTGAGTAACAGGGATTCTGTCATTCTTCACACACAGAAAAGTAAGACTTGTTGACACAAAACAAAATACAAGTCATCCTTCTAGCAGCAATAGATTTTCGCTTAAATATGAATATATGTTCTTACATAAAGTGAGGTGAGTCCTTTAAAATCATTTTCTTTGATTTCCTTAATTTTATTGTTTTGAAGGTCAACCATCTGAGTATCAAATGGAATGTTGCTTGGGACGGAGGACAAACCTGAGAAATAAACAAACATGTTACACACATACTGTATGCTAAAGAGGAGTTTTCTAATTTGACACCAATGCGGGTTAAAATCCATGATTACCAGTAAGAAACAGATAGCAATAACATTGCTCTTTGAAAAGTCCTGAAGACCTTTTCAAGTCACTTACTTATTTTTGCAAGGTTTCTAGCTGGGTCTAGCTGCCACTGCTCATCTGAACAAGGAGACGTGAAGTGGAGGTACATGAGGGTGTGCCCACATGACTGCAAGGGGTGACCACCACTGAGGGGCAGCGCCTGCCCAGGCACTTGGCTGAGAAGTATTCACACTCTGTGCCAGTTCTCAGGCTCTTGTGGTGCAGAATTGTAACCTGTGGGTTTTCATCATTTTAAGAAGCCTCAACATGTAGAAAGTTGTGCTTAGAAAATAAATTATATTATTTTCATGGGCATTATAAAAATGTTACATGTATTTCCTTTAATAATGAACTCCTCTACTTAGTTGTAAATTATTTGATTTACACAAACTTTTTCATCTGTATCTCACTGTTGATGTCTGGGTGTATGATAGACCTTTCCGGAAACTCTCCCCCTCAGCGCTGGGTCTCTCCCAGCCATTGCTCTGGCCAGAGGCTCCCTAGGTGCCTGTCAGCCTGCGCTTCTCAGTGGGTGTGACAATAGCCTTCTTTCTGTCCTCTCAGATAAGGCACAGCTGCATTGTCTCCTTGTGTAGGTACTCAGTAAAAGACTTCAGTGTTTTTTCCCCTCTTGAATTAAAAAACAAAGAAGACCAGGAAATTATAACAGCTGACACAATGCATTTCTTCCTTTCTTTTCTTGCTTTCCCTGGATGGCTGAACCTGCCCACCCCTGCTTGTTGTCAGGCAGGCCATATAGTAGTTATGCTTGATGAACATGGGGCCTTCTTGCTTTTCCCCAGCATTTACCGTCAAAATGTTCAAACATACAGATAAGTTGCAAGAATTTTACAGTGAAAACCCATATTCTCTACATTTTACTACACTTGCTGTTCATCCATCAGTTCATCTTTTTTATGCAATCTTATAGGGAGTTACAGCTGTCAGTATGCTTTTGGGGGAGCCATCCTTGCTCCTGAAGAGCAAGGGCTCAGTATCCAAACACTGAGAGTGTCAGCACTGCCCCCTGTAGCCCTCAGTACTTTCCCCTCCATGGTTGACAGTGATGACTCACTCTTTTAAGAAGTTTGACCATAGACAGGAAGAGGCAACAGGGGTGACTTGGTAGGTTAGCAAGGTAGCAGTTTTGTTAGAAGACGATTTGGGTCTAAGGAAGTGAAGTAGAAAGTCTTGGAGGAAAGCGGTGGCTCTGCCGAAAGCACCAGGTAATGTGGACTGGGATGGCCTCGCTCAGCCCACCCCTGGTGAAACTGGGAGCTCTAAACAGAAACTGATTTTCTGAGGGAGAAAGACCCTCTTCATCGTCGTGATCACGTGGGACAGTGAAGTGTGTACCACCTGTGTCGGACTATTACAGGTTATTCTTGGGTAAATTTTGTCTAGTAGGGTTTTTCAAAGGTAAATATATAGGAGGCTGTGCAAGGAAAACACTGTTTGCACCAGCTGGCTGTCAGGAGGTCACTGGGTTTTCTCAGCTTTTTGATGGCAGTCACTGTCCTGGGACGGAGCTGGGTGACGTCTCCTCCCAGGTCTTCACGTGGAAGCAGGTAACATTGCTCTGGAGCGAGTGTGGAGGCCGCCCCAGAGGACTGTCTGTGCTGAAGGTGAGTGCCTCCTTGGTCACTCTTAACCCAGAGCCAGCCCCACTTACATGAGCCTGTCCTGCCTGGGACGCAGTTTATAAATAACAGCAGTTTAGAAATAATGGCAGCACATTCTGTTGTTCCCTAACCCCGACCTTTCTTTGCCCCGTCTGCCCTGGCTTCTTTTTCCCTTCCCGCTGCCCTTCCCTCCCCGGTGTGCTTCCAGTCGGCCGTTCTCAGGCCCTGCTTACAGGTAGTCATCTCTTCCTCACCAGAATGCCAGAGATAAACTTAAAACCCATTTTTCCTAGCCTGCATATTCCATCAAGACCTTCCCAGTGATGCTAGCCCATCATAAGCTCCTCTTTTGTGAATGCTTTTTGTTCCCCTCTCATATGTTGTCCCGCAAATGCGTACTTTATTGAAGTCTCTGCAGTGGATTGTAAAAGTGCCGTGGCAGAGGGAAGTGAGTCTAAAGCACTCAGAGGCACCAGCTGCCCACGTACACCCTGGAAGTGGCCCTCTTGGGCCTCTAGGCCCAGAATGACAGGCATGTGCCACACCTTAGCTTCCTGCAGTGGGGCAGATCTGAGTCTTCCCTCATCCTGGAAATAGCCCAGCACAGTAACCCCTGATGTGTATTCCCCATCACACCCTCTCCCTGAGCAGGCTCTGAGTGCAGGCCTCTATTTGAAAGCATCTTCATTGGAAGTATTAAAAAAATAAAGTACTCCGAGAATTACACATTTTTAAGACTTTGGGAAGTGATTTGGTTCAACCATTTTTCTAGACCGTTCTAAACCGAAATCATTCAAAACAGAATAGAGCACTGACTTTAAAAAGTCTAGATTAGAGATTTCACAAACTCTGTAACCTGTTCTAGACAGGCTGTTTATTTTTTGTCATTGTAGAATGTTACTAGAAAGCACAGTATCAACCTGCTGACATCCTGAAATGAAACCACAGTGACATCCATTCTCTCTGAAGGGAATTAAAAGGAAGCATTTGTTTCAAATTTGAGAAGAGAAGGAAGTGTTCTATATAGGAAATTCCCATTGCTTTTCTCTGGTTTTCTGGATTTTTAAAATAAGTTTGGATATACTTTGAGTTTGTTATATTTTCAAAAATCTTAAATGAAAAATTGCTTTATAATTAGTGAGCTAATTTTTGAAATTTCAGTGAGAACTCTCCCTATCCTTTAAATTTTGCCAGAATGACATTTTCTCGAAAACAAGTTGATGTGTGTTCTTACCTAGATCAGAGCAGTGTACAACTCTCGAGTAGCACTGGCATCCAAATGGACACGTTGGGAACAGATCGAACGGGAAGAAGGTGTTAATTGGCTCTCTTGTTGGAAAAAGAGAGTTGTCCGCATCAAGGTCACTGTCCCCTTCGTCTTCCATGTCCTTCAGCATCATGTTCTTCAGTGTCACATATGAAGGGTGAAATAAGGGCTTGGCGGAGCACAAAGCCAAGAGCACTAGGAGCACACACCCCTTCATGTCGCCTGGTGAGGGGCCAGCCTTGGACTAAGGAGACAGTGAGACTAAGTTAAAGTTTAACCAGAATCGGTTTCATGTGTCCGTGCATTTCTCAGAGCAGTAAGAACACAACAGAATGGCACTCAGACCCGTTGCAAGGGTGACAGTAAATTTATAAAGTGTTTGGAAAGCAGTTTGGCAATATGCATTGGAAGTTTTAAAAATATTTTTCTTGTCTACTAATTCTACTTTTTGTAATCTAGTCTTGGGAAATAATTCTTTTTTTTTTTTTTAAGTAAGTATTTATTTATTTTGAGGGAGAGAGAAAAGGAACAAGCAAGGGAGGGACAGAGAGAGAGGGGGAGAGAGAGAATCCCAAGCAGGCTCAGCACTGTCAGCATAGAGCCCAACGCAGGGCTCCACTTACAAACCATGAGATCATGACCTGAGCTGAAACCAAGACCCCGTTACTTAACCAACCGAGTCCTCCAGGCACCCCTCAGGAAATAATGTGCATAAAGATGTCCATCACAAAATTACATATAATAGTAAAAACGTTAAAGACCATATGAATGGTTAGAGGGAAATAATCAAAATAGGGTATATGTTTTCCCTGAAATACTTTGGAGCCCACAAAATATTTGCAAAGAAGTTTAAAAATATGGAAAATTGTAATTTTGAAATTACAAAAAAAGCAAATATAAAAAAATCAATGCATAAAGTATAGTTACAAACAAACAAAAACCTAGCACAAATATAGCTAACTGATGATAATCCTGGGTGGTGGAACTATGACTGATGTGTCTTTTTTTTTTTTTAATTTTATAATTGGCAATAAGTACTACTATTATACTTAGGAAACTAATAAATGCTTTTAAAAACAAAAGCATCATACCCGACTCCCTATTCCCCAAATCCTTCCATTGCCTTAATATCTGTGTCCCTTTCAAAGCAAAGCCCGCGTGCCCCCTTGGCATCACATCTGGAAGTCTTCTGTAACTGATCCCCACCCGCCGCCAGCCTTACTCTTAGACTTGGTCACTGTTTCCACAGTGTCACTTGGATTTCTTCCTTCTAATCTGTTCCATTGTCCAATACCTGATCCAGAGCATCTGAGGGCCAGACTTTCTTACTCTTTCTTTCTCATCTTTCCACGGAGTTCTGTTTGTTTTCAGTTGTAATTTTTAAAGCCCACACAAAACTGGAATGAATGATTAAGAACCTTCTGAGAATAGATTTGTTGTCCTCTTATGGCAGATTTTCGCACAGGCATGTTTACATACCATATATGTACATACATGTTACATATCATGGTTTCTTAACTGTGTGATCCTTGTGAAGCATCCATTCTTTGTAATTTTCAAAAATGGAAAGCATTATGAAATTATCTAAAACAGACTAATGGCAGTCTTCCCTTGGATATCCCTCAGCATACAGTTGGTGCAGCCTGTGCAGTTGGCTGCATACAGTTGGTGAGGCTGTGTTGGCCATCCCAGGATATCCCTCAGCCCAGTCCCCAGGAGTGCAGCCAGCCTGTGATAGCTGCACAGGACTCCCAGAGTCTGTCACAGATGGTCCAGCCTCAGGAGGACCCAGTCCCCCAAATCCTTGAGTCACACCAGCTGCTTCCAGTTTCTCAGAACCCAGAAATCAGCTTTAACCTCTCTGTGTGGCCTTGCTCTTTTGGACTTAGGCATCAGAAATGAATTAATTATCTTAATGAAAATATTCATTTATATGTGGTATGTCTTTTAATCACCAAAGGCAGGTGAAAAAAAAATCCATCATCAGTTATTAACCTGATAATTAACATTATTTAAATCTTAGAAATTTAAATGGCAACATGAACATCTTGTCCACTGGTTAGCTGGACATCACTAACCAGATACATGCGATTTCTCTGTGATAACCCACACTGGATTACGTTAAGGATAGGATATACACATTTTTAATTTTAATAATTCACTTCAGAGCCAGCCCTGGCCTCCCACCTCCTCCCTGCCTTACAAAGTGGTCAGTTCAGTTTACTCTAGACACGTCCTTCACCTTAACTCAAAGGGGTGGGAGGCACAGAGAGCGTCTGCGGCCTCCAAAAGAGTTAGACCCAAGTTACAGCTCACATGTCCCAGCCTGTTGTCTGCATTTTCTGCTGCAGTCCATGAGGGAACACGCTCTTTCATCCTGCATGCTGGTGGCCTTACAGGCACACTGTCATCTCCTCTTCTGCAGCCAGTCTGCACACTGCTGCTGACATACATCTGCACAGGAAGGGGTACACACACAGCCCGGACTGAGGGGGCATGGGAGGGAGTGGTCGTGTGGTCAGATTCATATGGGCAGGGACCCTGTGCTGGCAGCATGAGGCCCAGCAGCGTCTGTCAGCTGGCTCAGGGACAGGCAGGTTCCCATTCTGTGTCCAGTCACCCAGGAATCCTGGCGTGGGTGCCTGATAAGGTCAGCTGGGCTTCGTTTCCACCGTCGCTTTGTCTCTGGCACATTATTTCTGCTTTCCAGCTGCCTGCCCAGCTTTGATCCCCTGTGCTTCTGTGGGGCTCCTGGCTCCTGAATACTTGCTTCCCAGCTTTGTGTCGACCTTCTGAAGCTCCCTTTCCCTAGCTCATTCAGCCCTGGGCGGGTCCTTGGCCAAACCAAAGCTTGTCCCTGGTACCAATTCACGCTTTAACATTGTTCTGCACTCTAGCTTTGCCTTCTGTGTCCACAGCTGCCCCTCTTGAGCTAAATGCCACTTGCGATCCTATCGTCTGCCTTTGTTTGAGGTTGCTGCAGTTTGTCAGTGGGCATTTTATCAGGGACCTGTTGTGTACCAGGCACAGTATTAGGATGCAGAATCTGTGAAGTAGAGGCTCTTCTGTCCCTCGTTTCCCTCCTTAAAAAATAAAACCGTGGCCCCCAATCTGCTGCTCTCAACCAAGCATGGGCGTGTTATAAAAGCCAATGCCAGAATGTCAGGGGCATTCGTAGAAACACTGAACCATAAATGCCTGTCAGTAAACAGAACCGAACTGCAAACAGGCAGTGCCAACTGTGTGCACCATGGCCGGCACTCTGCAGAGATCTCCAGGTGTGTGGTCCCCAGATTCGTAAAGGAAAATTCTTCACCAGAAGTCTGTTTACTCCTCATATCCTTAGTTGACTGTTTGAGACCAATAAATATAAAGCCATCTATAAAATACACACACGTGGAAAAAAGATTAAAATAGAATACGCAAAACTAGTAAGAGAAAGAGTGGGCTGTTGAGTGAAGGATTGTTTTACTCTCTCTGGGGGTGTAATTTTTAAGTTATTTAAATATCAGGCTCTGGTCCTCCGTATACATTTGCCTTTTCCCACCACTTCTGTAGCAAAAGTCAAACAGCAGTGTCCACATGGGAAATCTTTTGGGGCCATGGTTTCCTGAGGCCAACTCCCCTTCACTCCTGCTGCTTCCTGCTGCAGTCCTGCTGCCCCCTGACCTAGGTGAGCCCAGGAGCTGGGTGGAGGCAGGGACCAGGTGTGACTTGTGTTAAGGGACAGCACCGCGAGGAGCAGAGCTGGGACGACGCACAAGTGAAGGGGAAGAGGACACCAGGCATCAGGGCTGCAGACCAGCCCACCTGGGGGTCAGGAGGCACATCAGCCAGTATTCCCCCTTCCTCTCTCCTTGTCTCGGAGGAGGTGGGCCCTCTGGCTGCTGGCTGATGGAGCAGCACCCCCTTGTACCTGCCTCCTTGGGGTCCTTCTCCTGCAAGTGAGGGAAGAGACTTGTGGAGGCAAGGAATGTCATCTGGGTGGACCGCCTCCCAGTGTTGGAGCTTCCCCAGAACATTCTGGGTCGGTTAGCGTGTCCACTCTCTGCTTGCATGACTCCAGGGAGACAACTCAGGAAACGTACTCCTCGAGAGGCATCGGCTCCACTGCTGTCCATCTGTGCTTCATAGGAAATTCTCTGTATTGAGACCAAAAGTGCCTTCTGGCATATTCTTCTCTCTCTGCTACTTCTGACTTCTGTTAGCCATGTAAAACTAATGTGATCTTTTTGCATTCTTTTATCCTGTTTCCTTCTTTAGAAAGAGAAGTCAGGCAAGCCTTGGTTCTGTGATTCCTTTATCTGAGGTGATAAAGCCACGGTAAAGTACAAGTGATTATAGACCCCAAACCTTGCCCTATTCTAGCCAACCAGTTTCTTACCCACAGAAAAATACTGGCATGTCCAGGAGGGAACTCTGTATAGCAAGCAGTGTTTTTCCCTATTATTCAGAAAGAATATAGAGAATATTATTTCTTATTTAAAATGATGTGACTTTGCCTTATTTTTAAAATTTGGAGTTTATTCATATTTAAGCTTAAGCTCTTATTTGATTAGTGTGGGCAATGATTAGATTGTGCTATTTTTAAAACTTTTTAAGATGTTTGTGTCTTGTTCTTAGGAAGACTCAGTATTTCCCCAGTTTAGACCAGTTTTGCCAGAGTTTCTTACTCATGGAAAGCTTTGGACTTTGGTTTCAAGTTTCTTCTAATCAGAATAATATCTGGAATACTACTGCAGTGCTACTGCTGTTATTAATAAACCACGGCACGTTGGAGCCAGGAGAGGCCTGGGAGGCTTTCTTTGCTCCCACTGCTCGGCCCCTCCACACAGGCCTGAATCCCACAGTGACTTCCAGACAGTAACCAGACTCTCCTTGGAGAGGACGGGGCAGGCGGTTTGGCCAAGTTCTCAGGACTGGAAATGGAGCTAAGAAGTGTCTTTCTGAATTTGCATAAACTCCTATTTTCCACTTAAATGTTCCACAAACTTAGAATGGAAAATTTGTCTAAGTGAAATGGTATTTCCTCTGACACTATTATTAGGAAAATAAGCCACTATGCTTTTAAATCCCATGCTTAAAGGTCTGCCTGGCAGCCGTCCCCCTTGGCTGACATGTCCCTATCCGCTCACAAATGCTGGTAGTAGTTTTCAGTGTGTAAATGTGACAGGACGTGTTCCGTGTGTCCACAGAAGGCATCCAAGCTAAATCCAGGTACAGTCAAAGCTCAGCCCTGAAAGTGAACGTCCAAACATGCATTTGGAAACTTACCCACAATACCTTTTGGGAAGGAAACTGATGTTTTTAAAGACCACACTGCCCTTAAAGAAATAAGCTTTACTGTGGAAGTATAAATCACATCTGATAAAGAAGTTGCTGGCCTCTTTTCCTTTTATACCAGTTTTTGTCCTTCACCAGTTTTTCAGGGCATCTTAAGAAACAAAGAACTCCTGCCTCTTTATTTTCTACTGTCTCTTACAGCGCCTAAAGACTTGTGCTTGTAAAGTTAATCTGTTTTGTCTCGAACCTCAGGTCAGGTACCCAGATTTTCTTTTTTAGTGTAGTAGCTAGTGGTAACAGAAGACTCCTTTCCACCACACAGTATTGTGAAATACCGAAAACAAAAACATCAACATGCTTTCACATGTGTGTGGGCTTATGATTTCTTTGTATTTCCTTTTTTTTCTTTTTAAACAACTCAGTAATTCTTAGTGGGATTGAAAAGAACAGCACTTTGTTTTTAGAGAGATCTAGACCCCTCGGGTTTCTTTGTGACTTAATCCTACACCATGTGTCCACTGCTGTCGCTGCCACACCTCTGAGCACATGAACAAGGAGGAACGCTGGGCTGCTGAGATTAGGAGGAAGCAGAGTATCAAGTACTCTGTTTAATCTTTTTAAATCTAAGATTCAGTTAAAAATTTACTTTGGGAGGGGACAAAGGAAATCTTTATTTTAAATTCTGATTGGAGTTTTGTGAAAAGAAAACTGATCTCTCATATTGGATATAGACCTAGTGGAAGTATTGCTGATAAATATTCTTTCTTGGAATTATTATGGATTTCCATGTTAACTGTCCAGTGCCATCTCATTACATAAGAATAAGGAAGACATTCGTCAAGGAAAAATATGAATAATTCAAATGTGTGACATTTGAATAATTCATACATTTTGAAAACACATTAGAAAATAACAGTTTTAATATTTACTGTTTCATTTAATGTATTTGTGATATCCCCAGACTTCATATCATTAATTATTTTAAGGTAATGTTATTTTCCTAAGTTCTTTAAATGATTTTTAAAATCAGCTATGTTAAACATATGGTAAAGCATAATAACAGGTTTTCATTTAACTGTAAAAGTCACAATTACATGAGAATAAATCCATTATATGTAAAACTTAAAGGCTAGAATAATTTTAGGGTATGTATTTAAGTGCTGATTTTTAAGGAATTATGCAGATACACTTTATCATTTAATGTACAAGCATTTATGCTAATAACACTAATGTACCCTTTATATCAACTACAAAATAATAGTACCCTGTCCATGAAAGAAAGACTTGGAAACATACCTTGCAAAAAGAGAGTCAGCCTCTTGAGAGAAGTTCCCACCGTGTACTGCTTCTCCGGAATGCCCCTGCTCTCAGGTGCTGTTTGAGGAGAAGAGATGAGAAGGTGTTACATTCAAAAGAAAAACGCCCTCGTTGGAGCCTGATGTGGCGGCACCCTGGGTGACACTGGAGTAAGCTGCCTCCACAGATTAGCCCATGTTAGGACTGAGGGGCGAGATTAAAACTTGTTACTGCTCATGTGTTTTCCATCACTGTTTGTACCGGAGCCAAGACTTCTAGCTAAACCCTAGACGTCTACTGGAAGATTCTGAAGAAAAAAAAAGAGAGTTTAATAATGCATGGCTGCTGGCCATTCAAAGTGCAGTCAAAGTCATTCAAGAAATACCTGATCTGAAAATATACTTTTTGAAATTCTTAAATGAACGAACGAATACTGACACATTTAAAAATCGCTCACCCTATATAGACTAGCACAATAGTTCCCGGCTTTGGTAAAAAAGTACCCACGTGATTGAAGGGTAAGCCCCAAGTCCAGGTATACCTGAGAAAGCAGCCGGGCTGCTGTGCTCTGCTGGTGGCTGAAGCCATTGCATCGGGGCTACCGGTCAGGGTTCCCCTCGGAAGCTTCTGGCCCTGCCACAGGGACACGGGGTGACGCGGCCCAGGCCCCGCTGCGCTGCGGCGCAGACCGACCCACGGACCCAGGGACGCCAGCTTGCGCCGTCCCTAGGAGAGCACCGGCCGTCACCATGCACCTTCTGGGACACGTGGGAGCAGGAGGGCAGCCTCCCCTGAGAAGAACGGCGGACATCGTTGGCACACCGTTACCTCTCACCCCTGCGACAGCGTCCGGTTCCCACGGCGGCCAGGGCCTCTTCCTTCCGGGGAGGACGCGTCTCTGTCTGCGGGAAAGACCCACCGGGTCCGGCGCTGGCTGGCTGGCTGCCGGGAGCATCCCGACACGTGGACGCGCACAGTGCCTCCCGCGGGCGGGGCGGGCCGGGCCGGCGTGCGGGGTCTGGGAGCAGCGGGCCCCACGTGCGGGCGTCTGCCGCGTGTGGCTCAAGCGCGCGGCCGCACAGGGACGGGGTGGAAGCCGACGGCGTTTGTTCTCCCGAGTTCGGAGCAGCGGCTCCACGCGGGAAGCCCCTGGGCACGGCGGTTGGTCCCGCGCGCTGTCTTGTCTCGTTCTGCAGCTGTAACGGGTGTGTGCCTGGATACTCGCGTCGGTCCCGTCGCACACGTGGAGCCCCGAGGCTTCCTCAGAGGACGCCGCTCACTCTCGGGGCCGGCTTTCCTCCCCTCGCGCGGGGTTTTCGAGGTCCACCCGGGTCGCCGTAGTTCCGGATCGTGCGGTGGTCGACGTGTGAACGTGCCACCCGCCGCAGGTCACCGGACGTTCAAGGGCGGCGCACCGAAGAACGTGGAGTGGCCGGAGCCTGTCGTGTGAAGCTCGTGTGTACATGTTTTGTGTGGAACTGCTGTACTCACACTCACGAGGTTTCCTCCGCTCGGACGGGCCGAGCTTCGCCAGCGCGTGGCAGCCCTTCTCCCCGCGGGCCGCGCGCACGCCCTCTGCCCGTGTCCACACGTCGGCCCCGGCCCTGCCTCCTCTCGAGAGCGGAGCGCTCCCTGCAGCGCCGCTCGTGTCACGGTGCAGTAGCGCCTCCCCCTCTTGTCCCCGCTGCGGGCCGGGCCCTTTCTTCCTCCAGCACCTCACTTTCATCTTCCGTCCAAGGGCCCGGGAGTGGTGCCGGGGACCAATGTCCCTGGCCCTGCAGACGCTTCCCCCACCTGAAAGGAGGCCCGCAGACACCGTGTGGGAAGGAGCTGCGGAGCCTCTCCACGGCCTTGCTGGCCGTAGCTCCAGATACAGCAGTGGGCCTCCTCTGCCCCACGGCGTCGTGAGGAGGGAGCCCGCCGCTTGGGGTCCTGTAGGGTCCTATGCAGGGGACCTCCTGTTTTTCTGCACTTTTGTTCGTTATCTTTAAAAAAATTTTTAACGTTTATTTATTTTTGAGAGAGAAAGGCAATGTGAGCGGGAGAGGGGCAGAGAGAGGGAGACACAGACTCTGAAGCAGGCTCCAGACTCTGAGCTGTCAACACAGAGCCTGATGCAGGGGTCGAACTTGCAAATGGAGAGATCGTGACCTGAGCCGAAGTTGGAGCTTAACTGACTGAGCCACCCAGGCGCCTCTCGGTTCTGGCATTTTATGAACAGAAAGACTGATTTACACACAAAAAAACTTCATAGATTTCTTGCATAGCCCAATATATTCCAACCATGGTGAAAATAAAAATGGATTGCTTAAGCCACACTTGCATCTGATTTATAAGGCCCCTTCCCCTAGCCTCCTCCTAGTGTGGAAATGGAGAGCAGGGGTCACTGTTCAAACACAAAAGAACCAGAAGGGCCTTGGGAATCACCTCCTGCAAATTAGGAATGAAGTGGGTGGGGAGAGAGTGTCTGTGGCCTCATAAGACGCCTTCCCAAGCTCAGGAATCACTAGGCGGTCGGGCTGTGCAATGTCTGTCCCAGGGCATTTGGGCTCCGTGCCTGCCGAGTGCCATCGAGAGGATTGTGGAGCCCCTCGCATCGCCCATCGCTCCTTCCACCGGATGGTGTACGTGCTGTGAAGAAGGGCAGGAGGGAGTTGTGGGGAAGCCCCAAGGCATGTGAGGGGCTTGCCTGGCAAGGACGGTTGTGGGAAAGTTCTGGGCTGTCAGACTCGGTAGTGTAAACAGTGCATGCTCTTCCTGCATAACCTGGAGGTCATGTAGGGGAGGCGCTCAGGGCAGACTGGGCTCTGTGGTTTGTGACTAACTACTTACACTGCAGGTCATGACCCGTGGACAGTATTCATCCTGCAGATGTGTTTTGTTTGGAGCATATGGTATTTTTAAAAAACAGGAAATTTTATGTCAAAGTCCAAATTTATAGCATATCCCAAGAAGTCAGCCTGACAAAGCTGGCCCTGGCGTCCTGTGCGGTTGCAGCGATTGGCTGAGCTGGTGGCAGCAGCCTCCTTCCCATGGGCTCCTGGTCCCTGGTTCCAGGCTGCCCTCCCTGCTCTGCCCGCAGTGCTGGTGAGCTTCTGCCCTCAGCCCAGTGGAGGGTTCCCTCCAAAAATGAGTTAATGACATAAATTGTCATTTAAAATGAATTGATATGAATTTATGAAGACTGAAAGACTTACGACAGTAAGTTTATAGTATTGTGTGGGTGTCATGTATTTTTAAATAATGCCTCAAAAGTTAGTTTGCTTTGAGGATGGGTACAAGTAATAGTTCTGTTTTAAATAAACTTTCTAGCTCTTTCCACTGAGAAGACCTGAAGGCTCACACATCTGACTTCCAGATCTGTGTTTCTAAGAACCATTTCCCACTAGAAGGACCAACGCTCCTGGGGGAACTGACAAGTAATAGGTTGGGGCCAGAGGAAGCGCGAGATGTGCCAGAAACCTCTCGTACCAGTCAGCACCAGAGTGCACAGAAGTCACCATGGATGTGGACGGAACGCGGCAGCCAGTGTGAGGATACAGTGTGAGCGTCTTACAAAGAACAAGGGTGGCAGTGGAGTATAGCATGTCAAATGCAAAATCCTTTTTGTGATAACAGAGGAAAGAGAATCAAAAGGGACAGGGCTTTTCCTGTAGAAGAATGCCAGCTGAGCCGTCCAGAAGGGACCAGAGCTGGAGAGTTACCATGTACGGATACTTCCGGTGTGCTGATTTAGGCAAAGGTAGTCACTTGGAAGCTCAGACCACTAAGTAGAGGGTCACTGGATGGCAAATATTCAGAGACCCAAAATCTTACCTTATAGATGATTGCTAGTTACCAGAGGAAGAATGTACCACCTGAACCAAACGTCTCAGCATCACCAGTAATAGGCTAGCCACCATTTTGTGCTTCCTGATATGTTGCAAAAGGAAGTATGTGACATCACCTACATGGGATTCTTGCCAGGCATGTTTTACCAAATCTAATCAGACAAATGCAAATTAGGGGACGTTTTGCAAGATAGCTGTCTGGGGCCCTTCCGAACAATGAAGATTGAGACTCTCCTAAGGTCTCACGGGAGACATAAACTGTCATTTAAAATTAATTGATATGAATTCATGAAAACTGAAAGACTTATGACAGTAAGTTTATAATATTGTGTGAGTGTCACGTATTTTTAAATGCCTCAAAAGTCAGTTTGCTTTGAGGAATGGGTACAAGTAACAGTTTTAAATAAACTTTCTGAGACTGAAGGAGTCCGCGTGTAAACTCTGATTCAGACACACTGCCTCTTAGGGCATTGTCGGGACATGCCAAAATGTCTGAACATGGGGAAATCCGAATATGGGCTGTATGGGAGACAGTACTGAGTCAGTTACATTTCCTGGGTTTGGTGATGTGAGCACATGTGATTGTCGTGCCACGGGCTCGTCAGACCTGTCCATGTTCTCAGGAGTCCCCTCCTCAAGTCCCGGTGACAGGGCTGTGACACTTGCAGCCTGCACATGGATGGTCCAGCTGGACAAATGTGGACACAGGAGGGGGGAAGAGATGAAATGACCAGACAAAATGACAATTGGTGAATGTAGGCGAAGCATGTGGAGATCTTCACTGTATACTTTCAACTTTTCTGTGGCTTTTAAAAATATTGCTAAATAATTGGGGGGGGGGGAGGGGAACGTGTTTTGTCTTAATTTTAACTGATTTGTCCTTACCTCTACTGAAATATTTACATGTAAAGCTTTAAGTTAATTAAGCTGTTACCCTAGGGTTTCTTAACCAGGGGTTGTGAATCCCTGGAGGAGTGGGGAAGGCTGTATGAATCTCTTGATACATGTAAAGTGTTAGTAGATGAGTGTTTTTCTCATCTGAGAGGCCCATCATATCCTCTCAGGGGTCCATCCTTCAAATAATTAAGAACTATTTCCCTAGAATTAGTATTTCTCATCTGAGAGGCCCATCATATCCTCTCAGGGGTCCATCCTTCAAATAATTAAGAACTATTTCCCTAGAATTAGTATTTCAGACATTATAAATTTGGTAATTGTGAACATAATTCTCAACTTATGGAAAACAAATCAACCTTTAGCACATT